AATGTCTTTAAAAAGGTGAGTCTTAGCTTGCAGGAGTATGTGAGAATGCAGATATTTCCACTACACCGAGTTAAGGTCAGTGTTGCACCTGCAGCAGGTCTGCAGCTGAGCAGCTCCACGAGGTTGGGAAGAATGTCAGAAGCAAGCTGAGCAGTGTCACTATGTTTATCACCACAAATCTCAAGAGAGCTTCAGATTCACTCCCAAGCTCTCCCACATGTTCTCTTTCATACCCCCCACCTTGCTCCTTTCATCCCTTTTCTCATCTCAAATCTTGAGTGAATTTCCTGTGACTTGAAAAAAAAATAGAGGCAATGAGAGGAGAACTTTCAGATTTGACTTCCACCAATTCAGTAGCATATATATACAAGCACAGCATTGCAACGGTCAATTGTTGATCTCTCCACCTAAATTTAGTTTCTCCCTGTTATCTGGGAAGTCATTATTATTTTTTTAAATCCAGGTCTGGTCTCTTGCAGAGATACATGTACTAAGTGGGGACTGATTTTGTGTGCACATAGAAAAAACAATTTCATTGCTAGAGGAAGAATAAGTATAAAGTCATGAGTGAGTATGACCTGACGTACGCAGAAAATACATGACGTGATTGGGTCAAAGAGATTCCCAAAAAGCCAGGGAGGAAGAAGAAATCGAAAATGGTACCTGTAGAAGTTTAGGTTTGAGAATAGGAAGCTAAGGTAATGAAAACACCTTATTAAAGTGCTGAAGGATGGGAGAAGTATCTTCAACGGATGTCCAAGGTGGAAAACAGCATTCTTCTGCCTCCCATATTCATGTATTTCCTATGCAACCATGTCCCGAATATAGTAGATGCATCATGGGAAAAAGGACATTTTTGATTAGCACATAGGGTACATGGAGAGGGAAGCAGTGATTTGCAACTTCCACCTACACGGAACTTACTAACGGCTGGCTTGTTTATCTGACTTCCGGACCTAACTAGCAGCTTGATATCCCACATCACTAGTGCTTGGTTCCATACCATTTTACTCAGTGGCATCTTTTTATAGTTTTCCCCTTTATCTCTTGCATTTAGACCTTTCATCTCTTGGCATTTTCTCTCTCCCTGCTTCTCCATTCTCTCTGATGTGAAGTCGTGTGAGCAACCTGCTTCATCTTAAAATTGTGCTGCCTTGGTTCATAACGCATTCCAGCCACCACCTTCCTGCTTCACTCTACAGCAAAACTCATTGATAGACTTTTCTAAACTCCTTGAGCTTCCCTGTTTCTTATTTCTTTAATTTCCTATTCACTCTTCAAAAAGTGTTTTGTAAAAAATTATCAGTTATTTTCATTATCCTTGACAGAGAGAGAGAGAGAGAGAATATCCTATCTGCTGGTTCACTCTCCAAATGGCCACAAGAGTTCGCTGAAACCAGGAGGTGAAGTTTCCACAGAAGATGGCAGAGGCCTAGGTAGCTGGGTCATCACATTCTGCCTCTTATCCCTTCTCCAATACCTCCTGTTACTTCACGGATGCTGCATTTCTCAGGTTTCTACTGTCTCCATGCATCTTGCTTGACCAGTCTGCGGTATCCTTTCCTTGAAATACTTCCTAACTTGGTTACAGGGACATCATCCCTTCCTAATTTTCCTCTTATCTCACTGTCTATTCCCTCTCAATGGCCCTTGACAGGATTTTCCTCATCTTTCCAACCTGTCTGTTTTGAACAGCTTCAGGACTGAGTCCACAAATTTATTTTCATCTCGTTCTCCACTGGATTTGTATGTGCTCTAATCTAATGGTAGTTTTTGATCCCAGGATTCTCTCCCTGAACACAGACATAGACGCCTAACTGACTGTGTGCTATCTCTACTGTGATAGCAATAATTAAATTGCATTTCATGTTTCCCATATGCCAGGTTTCATTGTAAAGCCTTTGTGTGTGCGTGTTCAAACACTGCATGTCCAATAGGCATCTGAAATTTAGCACATCTAATTAGTCTCCGTTTCTCAGCCCCACCAAAACCAACTCAAAGGCAGCACCTCTGATCTTGTTGTTAAGCCCCCAAACCTCAGCACCATCCTAACTCCACTCTTTCTCTTATGCCCCACCACCCAATCCATTGGCAAATCCTCCCAGCGTGTTCTGGGACTGTGTAAAGAACCCAGAAGAACAAATCGCTGTTGTCACTACCACCTGCTCCACAGCTCTAATAGATTGATTGGGATGATTGTTTACTGGTTCTCTTTGTATTTTTGTCCTCTCTCCAAACAGTTTCCACCCACATGGTCCTTTAAAGACATGTCTGAGTAGTCCTTGCTTTGCTTAAAATCTTCTACTCAATTCCTATTTCACCCAGGGAAAAACAACTTTTAAAATTTTTACTGCAGGGCCCGCCTCACCTTGCACGTGCCAGGATCCCCCATGGGCATTGATTCTAATTCCGGCGCCCCTGCTTCCCATCCAGCTCCCTGCTTGTGGCCAAGGAAAGTAGTGGAGGACGACCCAAGGCCTTGGTACTCTCCATCAGTGTGGGAGACCTGGAAGAGGTTCCTGGCTCCTGACTTCAGATTGGCTTAGCTCTGGCCCACGCGGCTGCTTGGGGAGTGAATTATTGGACAGATGAACTTCTTTTTTTTTCTCTCATTCTCTCTGTATATCTGACTTTCCAATAAAAATAGAATAAATCTTTTTAAAAAATTTTACCACAACGTATCAGGCCCAAAATAACTTAGTCCTCATTAACTTGCTCCCTTCATTTCTTTTCATCTTTTGCCTCTTTCATTATGTCCCACTGCATCATCCTCCCATCTGTCCTTTGAGCTCCCTCCCTGCGTAGTTATCCATTTGAGGATTTGCATACTCTGCTCTATCTAGCACACAGGTGGACAGGGAAGCCATTGTGTCTAACTAAAAGTGCTCTTGAGTGTGGCTCACTAGAAGAGTTCTACTTAATGCATATATTCCGATAATCTTGAAATAGCAAATCCATGAAGTTATTATTTTTGCATCATCTTTTCATAGAAACAGACATCACCTGTACAGATGTGAAAATGTAGGAACAACAATAACAAAGAAGAACAACAACAAAAATCAAAATAGGAAAACACATTAAACACAGAATAGCAGCTAAGATTCTATCTTCCTACTATTCAACTCAACAATGATGATTTAGCTCAAGCAAAGCAATGTAATCCATCATTTTTCACTAATGCCGATCACTTGAATTGTATTAGCTATGTTTGTGTTGTTTGTATTTATTTTGTAACATAGGTTTTCTACTTGCACATGAGTGGCAAGCACACGGAGTTTATTTTTAGTGTTTGGGGGGCTCCTTACACATATTATAAGAGACATGATGAGATAACACAGGAGACTGCAAGCACAAGTTAAATTAGATGAATACATTTTGAATGACTATATGACGATTTTCACTACATAATTCTTTATCAGAGAAAGTTGAGGGGCCCTGCATGAGAAGTTTTATTTCTGCTCAAAGTTAGAAAATCAGAAAAGTCATGACAGTTTGTTCAGTTAATAAAGAGATGACACAAAAAGAAAGTAATGAAATTGAGACTGTGTTTCTTGGCTTATGAATTCTTAAACATTTAGAGCCAGGAAAGAGGTTTTTATTAAGTTTGCAACACAGTCTATGTTGCAGTGTGGAGACATCCTATGTGCAGATCCCACAGAGTTGGGAAACCACCAGCTTCTCTCTCTGGGTGTTTGCCACCATTCTGGCTCTGGCCATCATCCTGGAAACATTTAGGGTTCCTCATGGCCATGGGTCCGAGTAGGAAAAGGTCAACAGAGGTGAGACTTGTATGATTCGTGAGACTACAGCCATGGCATGGGCTTGTCTCTGAGAAGAAAGCAGAGTTAGTGAGAAGTCCAGGTGTCCCCACTCATGTCTCTGCTCCCCAGTGGACAGGGAAAGCCATTGCCCACGGTGGCAGATAAGTCATCATTCTCCACTTTGGCTCTATACTAAAGGGAGTTGATCCAGAGTCTGGCTGGTAAACTGTTTGACATTACTGGATGAGAGATCCAGGCACGGAAATGAAGGGTGTGAGAGCAGTGCAGTGCTAGAGGCCCACTTGGAGGGAGATGATGAACTTACTGTCTTCTAAGGGATCTGTGTGTGTCATCTACATTTCTCTCCTGGGGAAGGCTGGCTCATCTCTGTACAAAAGGCACCTTCATGGGAACCAATTTTCCTAAGAACCCTCTGTCCTGGGAATGGCGGAGGGAGAGGGTGAGGGGTGCTGCTTTATCCATGTTTCCCCCTGTGGAAAGCCTAGTCCTGCCTGACAAGCTGGAAAGTTTCCCCAAATCATTGCGGACCGCTGTTACTGTGTTTAAGTAAAAACCATGGGGCCATTCAATATGTAGCTCCTAGACAGGAGGGTGCTCATCTCTACACTGTGTAGTGGAGAGCTGTAAGTGTGAATCCTGCTATGTACCTGTCAGGCCCTCAGCTTTCTATCCACCCACCGTGAGACACAGACATACATTTTAGATGTGGCGCCAAAGATCATAGTGTGGCCATTGAGAGGCTGCCCTGACTCCAGCCAAGCACAATCGCAGACCAAACATGCTTCATCACTGGGACATTATGACATCTCACGGGGTGGGGCCAGGCTGTAGGGAGCACAACAGCAGCAGCGGTCTTGGCAGAGCACCAAGAGTCCATCCTGGCTACCCCAGCTAGTGCCATAACATCGCCACCTTCATCTTGTTTCCTCTTGTAACTAACTAACTGGGAGCAATAGCCAAGCAACAGCAGCCTGCCAGCATCCAACCAGCCGCCAAGCCCAGAAAACTCAGAACATCTACAAGCTGACTGCAATTTGGCACAGACACAGAACCAAGCAGTGAGATTGCGTGCCCACCCACCAAGTCCAAGGCTACCAACACTGGCAGAGACCTCTACTGTCCACTAACTGTCACCCTCCTCTCTAATCGTGCCCTGTGCCTACAGCCAGAGCCTTGAGTCTTCACTACTCCAGTGCCTACTGTTGAAATTGCTTCTTCATGGATCTTGGCCTGGGCACCAGCACTAGCTCCAGAACCCAGCACCTAGTGGGAGGTAAATACAAGCTACTGAATAAGATCGGGTCTGGTGCGTTCGGGGAAGTTTGTCTGGCAGTTAATGTCATCAATGGTGAGGAAGTGGCAGTGAAGATGGAGTCCAAGAACATCAAAAACTCCAGGTTGTTGGTTGAGAGTGCCATGTATGAGGAGCTTGGTGGAGGAATAGGCATCCCACACATACAGTGGTTTGGGCAAGAAGCAGGTCAAAGTATAATTGTCCTGGATCTTCTGGGACCCAGCCTGGAAGATCTCTTTGAGTTCTGCTCCAGAAGCTTCTCATTGAAAACAATCCTTATGCTGGCTGATCAAATGATTGGTATTCTGGAGTATGTGCATTCCCAGAATGTAATACACAGAGATATTAAACCTGAGAACTTCTTGATGGGACTAGAAAGACACTGTAATAAAGTTTACCTTATTGACTTTGGGTTGGCCAAGAAATATCAAGATAGCCACACTAGAGAACACATACCATGCCAAAAGACTGAATACATCGTTGGGACTGCACGGTTTGCCAGCATCAACACCCATCGTGGAATCGAACAGAGTCGTCGTGATGATTTGGAATCTCTGGGATATGTCTTCACATACTTCAATAGAGGCAGCTTGCCCTGGCAGGGACTAAAGGCTGCTACTAAGAGAAAGAAATTTGAAAAGGTCGGTCAGCAGAAGATATCCATCCCTCTTGAAGAGTTGTGTGGAGGATTCCCTGAAGAATTTACTACATACCTGCAGATTTGCCGCAAGTTGGGCTTTGAGGAAACACCTAATTATATGTATTTCAGACAGATCTTCCAAAATGCGTTTAGGAACCTTAATTTTCAATATGATAATGTATTTGATTGGGCGATACTTTCCCAAAAATCTTCTATAAAACATAACCGCAGTAGCACCGCTACAGCAAAGCTAAGTAGAAAAGACAATAAGAAGGGTTTCTGAAGACCAATATTCAGTTGCGTTTAATTCACTGCTTTGAGTTAAGTGGTCAGTAGCCCGTTAGTGCTTGTGGACAATCATTCATATAGAGTAAAACCTTAACCTTAGCATAGTCTATAACCTGGACTATGTTGCAAGTTGTAAGCTCCTATATTGTGCTATTAAACCAAGGACTAAAGCATGATGTCTGGTTTTCCAAGTGATTTTTTTTCTTCCAGTGGGAATGTTAAGTAAATTCCTGTTCATGTGATTTGGTGGGGATATTGTGCATGTGGCAATATCTGATTTAAATCTTTTGTTTGGTGTAGTAGGCTTTGAGATCTCATTTCAGAAAATTGGCACCAGCATCTTCAGACACGGTTTTGATATTTTTAGATGCTCATGATTGTGCATGCTTAGGGTTTTTTCATCTCTGGGGTTTGCCAAGTTGTTTGCTTAAGACCCTCTGAAACCAGTGGTTTTCTTGTTTGCAAGCCAGCTGCCATGATAGCAACTGAAGATTCCAGTGTTTGGGTGAATGGCATATTCTGTGCACTTACCTGCGCTGGAAATAATAGCATCTCAAGTGAAATGCTAACTTAAACTTGGTGTCTCGTGTGTGATCCTTGAGACAATGCATTGATTTTTTAATGTTCTAGGTTAGAAAGATATCACAGTTGCCACAAATATAGCTAATGTTTTCATTAACATCTTTAATTGCCAAACTGCCTTGCTAACTCAATATGAAATAAGAATGTCCCCCAAATTTAAAAAAAGATGTATTCACTTGAATGACAGAGTTTCAGAGAGAGGGAGAGATCTCCCATCTGCTGTGTCACTCTTCAAATGAACAAGTGGCCAGTGCTGGTTTGGTTTGAAGCTGGGATCCAGGAACTTTTTACCGATTTCCTGTGTGAGTGCTGAGGCCCAAGCACTTGGGCCATCCTCTACTCTTTTCCTAAGCACATTAGCATAGGAGGAGCTGAGACCCGAACTGGTCTCCATATAGGATGCTAGAGCTGCAATTAGTGACTTTGCCTACTAAGCCAAAGTGTTCTCCCCAGTCTCCAGTATTTTGATAGACAGTTCCAAGCTCCAAGTAGATACAAACTAGAGCCTTTAGGAGGTGATTTGATTTCGTGAATGGATTCATGGCAGTTTGTCACGGGAGTCGCATTGTTAGATAAACCCTTTGGGGTAGTGGTTTAGTGCGGTAGTTAATATAGTTGTATTCCACATCAGAGTGTTTGGGTTTGGTTTCTGGTATCAGCTCCAGGCTCCAACTTCCTGTTAATGTGTACTCTCAGAGGCAGCAGCAGTGACTGGAGTAAACAGGTTCCCATCACCCACACTTGAAAGCAGGACAGCACTGTCCTGCACAGCCTTGGGACTCTCCAAGGCAAGAAGGACTTTATCAGTGACAGCCACATGGTGGTGAACTCTCCAGCCCTCAGGACTGAGAGTGGGGTACATCTTAGCTCTTGGTAAGTCACTCAGTATGTAGAAAAATGAAAGGTTGACTGAGGAGTCTCCGGGCTTTAGTAAAAGCTAGGAACGCATTCCGTTGCAAGTGGAAGAAATTGTGACAGCCATAACTTAAAGAAGCAGACAGTTTTTACTCTCAACTTATCTAGAAGTCTAGAAGTGGATCACTGACATTATTTTGGCAACTTAGGCCCTTGCTAGCATTTTTGCTGCACTATGTCTACTGACAAGGTTACTAAGTAACTGCAGAATCTTTAAGTGTCACATCTGAGTTTAAATCAGAAAGAAAATTTTGGGAATTGGGAAAGGGAAAACCCTGAACCTATGGAACTGCACCATAAGAAAATAAAAAATAAAAAGGTTTTAAAAAAAGAAAATTAAAGGAGAATTTGTTTTCTCTTCTGAGTGTGTATTTTTTTGTAGTGGGCTGGTGGAGTGGAGGGGAAACTGCACAGTATTGGAAGGCTGTCATGTGTGTGGATCTTAATAGCCAGAAATATGTCATGGAGCAATGGGAGGTTCATAAAAGTCAAAGGACATGACAAGACCACTTAATACATTGTCCCCTGAAGCTGGGGAAGGGAACTTTCTTTTTCTGAAATCCCTGAACCTTTCCTTCTGTCTAGAATAAATCAGAGTTTCTTTCATAGGAAAGTAGGGAACAGGGAAGGGTGGTTGAATATGGGTGCCACAAAGTGCTCTTGCACCTCAGTTCCTGGAACCTTCCACACTGCTGAGCCTCTGCATCTGACCTCATTCCCCTCAGCTTTCGAGGAAAAAAAAAATCATTTTTCCATTCCCTTTTCCCAGACATAGTTAAATGTTTCTAGAATAGTTTTTGTCAATGTAATTCTTTCTTAATGTTTCTTAACCTTCTTGTCACGTGCAAAATTCCTTCTAAATAAAGGAATGTTATCATCAGGTTTCTCATTGTCTAGTACTAAATGAAATCAATCTTTTAAATACATTTTGTGCAGTTTTTGCCAATTGCTAATGAAAGAACTGAGGCACACAATTGGGTGATGGCTAGTACAAGGACACACTTTTAAAAATTATTCAGTAAAATTTTTTTTTTCTGAATCAAAGAATTGTGATAAGAGACACGGAGCTGGTCTTGTGGTACAGCATGTTAAGCAACCACTGATAATGCTAGTATTCAATATGAATTCTAGTTCTAGTCCTAGCTACTGCACTTCAAATCCAGCTCTCCAGCTATGTACATGACAAAGCAGCAGAAGATTGCCTAAGTACTTGGGCCTCTGGACTCATGTGGGAGACCCCATTGAAACTTCTGGTCTCTAGCTTTAGTCTAGGCCTGACCCAACATGATGGTCATTTGAGGAGTCAAGTAGCAGGTGAAAGATCTCTCTTTTTCTCCTTCTTCCCCTCTGTCACCTTTGCCTTTCAAATAAGTGTGCCAGAATAGACTAAGTTCAAATCAAGTCCTGAGAATTATATTCTCATGATTTTAGTATTTTTGATGTCTTTGTGAGAGCATATCCATTTCGGATATATTAAAAAAAAAAACATATTAGGTTGGTTATTCAGAGAAACTGTAGATTTCTGTGGTCATGGGTGTGTCTCTGAAAAGGCACCTTTTAAAAAAAGAGTTTATTTATTTTTATTGGAAAGGCAGATTTACAGAGATAAGGAGAGACAGAAATTTCTTCTGTCTGCTGTTCACTCTGCCTAAATAGCCACAGCAGCTGCAGTTGAGCCAACCCGAAACCAGGAGCCAGGAGCTTCTTCTGTGTTTCTCATGTGGGCACAGGGAAAAGTACCCTTTTTAGACAAATTTGTATCTATTTATATCTATTTTAATAAGGCACAGAACAGATACATATAGAGGCCTTTCTACTTAATATTCCCTGTCCTGCCTAGGAGGGATCTTTCCACAAGGAGAAGAGGTTGGAGGTCGGACACCCAGCCCTAGATAGGTTATCATTGGTGCCTGTTACCTAGTACCCTCACCTGCTGGCCAAGGGCCTGCTCCCCAGAAGCCCCAGCCCCTATGCTTCTGTAACTCTCTGTAAGGGTCAACCTTCTGAATCCTCTTTAATTCTCAACACTCTCATGCTTTAGGCATGGGATACAAATTTCAAGTTCTTCTTCCCATTGTCTATTATCAGTTTGTCATAGACTAACATCATCTACAACTTCAGAAGTGGAAGACTTTAAAGGATATCTACATTATCAATGAGGGCATTGGCAAATGAGCTTACTTGGAAAACATTTGTTTGGGAGCTTATATGAATTATATATTAGTGAATATACCAAAGCAAAACAGAAATAGTGTGGTATGCCTATTCATTGACCATAAATTGCTTCTTTGTATCACACACTCTTCCAGCAGTGCCATACAGCAGTGAATAAGACAGTGGTTCTTGGTACAAAGCAGCTTCCGTTTCAACATAGGGAACAGAAAATATCCGGATAAAACACAAATACACTGGGCAGGATTCACTTGGGCTGCCTGCATCCCATGTCTCAATGCTGGTTCTAGTGCTGGTTGCTTTACTTCTGGTCCAGCTTCCTACTAATGTGTCCTTGAAGGCAGCAGATAATGGCTCAAATTCTTGGGTCCTTGCCATCCACATGGGATACTTTGATGGAGTTACTGGCTTCTAGCTTCAGCCTGGCACAGTCTCAGATGTTGCCAGCATTTGGGGTGTGGTCAAGAAAATGGAAGATATCTGTTACTTTCCTCTATTTTTCTCCCTGTCACTCTTTCAAGTAGATGAAAAAAAAAATTGAAAAGTAAACAGGTAAGCAAAAACTATTTCAAATAATGGCAAGTGCTGTGGAAAAAAATGAAGCAGGGTGATTTAGTATGAATAGGTAAGTCATGGAAAGCCCAGTGCTGTCTCCAGTGCCAAATCAAAATAACAAGAACAAGGTTTGAGTTAAAGGGAAAAGAGTAGTTTAAACTGTTGACAGATGAGGGAGTAGCAGACCTTCATTTCCAAAGCTACTGCCCTGGGGCTTGCATCGTGGCCCAGCGGAGTAAGTCACCATGTACAGTGCTGGCATTCCATTTGAGTGCTGGTGCAAGTCCCAGCCTCTAATCTAGGTCCCTGCTAATATGCTTGGGAAAGCAGAGGAAGATGGTCCATGTATTTGTGCCCTGGAACTCAACTGGGAAACCCAGATAGAGTTCCAGGCTTTTAGCTTTGGCTTAGTCCAGCTTCAGCCATTGTGGTCATTTGGGGAGTGATTCTATGGATGGAGGATCTCTCTGTCTCTCCCTCTCCCTGTGCAACTCTGCCTTTCAAATAAACAAATAAATCTAGAGAAAAAAAAAACTGATCACCTTGACTAATGGTGAACAGGGAGCTGGACTGGCAAAATTTCAAGAGGTGCAAATCTTTTGTGTCAGGCCCTAAGGCTGGTATATTTCATTTCTGTTTTGTCCTTGGGGCTGCACAGGTGGTCACATTAGGTTTAGTTTGATCAGGTTGTAAGATAAAGAACAAGACACCCTGCACCTTAGGACATGCGTGAGTGGGAATCCAGCAGTTCCTCCCTGAAGCATTCCAATG